GAACCACATCAAGGAGACTCCTCTAAAGCCGTAAACATGCAATTTTTTTAACATAATTTCATGGTTTACACAGTCAAAGGCCTTAGAGAAGTCACAGAAGACTGTGGCGACCACTTCATCCTCATTCAAAGCTGTGAAAACATGATCTAAAAGATTAAAAATTGCGTCGTGAGTGTTTTTGGATGGTTGAAAACCAAACTGAGAATCACTTAAAATATTAAGTTTATTCAGGTACTCCAACATTCTTCCCTTGACCAATTTCTCTATTACCTTTGAAAGTGTTGAAAGCAATGATATCGGGCGGTAATTTTCGGGCTTGTCAGTTTCACCTCCCTTATGTATTGGAACAACAACTGCTGTTTTAAGAACGTCAGGAAAATTGCCCAATTGAAAGGAGATATTTATACACTCAGCCAACACATAGAGAGCAGTCTCAGGGAGATTCCGAAGTAGTCTAACTGAAATGTTATCACAGCCGCTTGATTTCGGATTTTTTATGTCCCTAAAAATATTTCTCAGTTCACCGATATTTGTAGGTTGTAGCTCAAATGTACCATCTATTTTTACATCAGACAAATACGAAAGAGGATCTATGTCACTTTTCAGACCCGATTGCAGGTTATTGGCAACTGTACAGTAAAAGTTATTCAGAATATTAGCATCCACATTCACCCTTGACCAGGGATAAGGGTCCCTACCCGTTAACTGGTTCACAAGTTTCCAATTTTCCTTGGTTGAGTTATTTGAATTTTTAATTTGGTCGCGGTAAAACTTGTCTTTTGCAGCTTTGATAAGTTTTTTATATGTTAACCTGTATTTGGCAAAGTAACAGAGAAAACGGGGATTGTTTGTGTGCTTTTTTATTACTTGAAGAGATCTGAAATTTTTCGAGGATATTTTGATACCCTTTGTCACCCAACTCTTTCTGTTGATTTGTTTGATTTTCTGTAGTGGAAAACATTTAAGAAAAGTACCACTTATTTTGTTTTGAAAAGACGCAAGGGGAGATTCTGTGTTTAACAATTCAAACCAGCTCAAACCCTCAGCGGCAGACTTAAACTTATAGTAGTTCTTCCGACTAAACAACCTACCTAACCTATGCTTTCGCCCCTTATTAAAATTAAATCTAAAGTAAGCCAAAACTGCCTCATGATCCGAAAAACCAACAGGCATTACCTCGCAACTCACGAAAATATTTCCCAAGCCAAAATTGGAACACATATAGTCAATCTTGCTTTCACCATGTGCAGTAATTCGGGTCGGTCGCTGCACATACATTCGCAGGTTAAATGATAAAAACAAATTGGATAATACCTGTGTAGCCTCTGATGTTTCATCGTCATAATTTATATTCAGATCACCACCCAACAAAAGGTTTGCCTTACATGGTAGATTCATTAAAAGAGTTTCTAGATTTTCAAAATATTGTTTTAAATTTGAAGAATATGGTGGTCTGTAAATGCACAAAATATACAAGTTGTTTCTCTCATTGTACAACAATGAAAACTCAAAACCACCTTCTACTATAAGGATGTCACAGTGTGAAACAGCAATAACTTCGAAAGTCTCCAAAAACTCATCCCTTATAAGAATAGCAGTACCTCCACCACTCTTGGTAATTCTACAATATTTAGACACCAGTGTATAACCATTGATAGAAAATATTTCATTTGTCGCCAACCAATGTTCAGTCAGCAGCAGTATGTCCGGGAAGTTTTCATTTTCAAGAAATAGGTACAGATCATCAATTTTGTTTCGTAGCGATTGAATATTCAATAAAAATACAGACACCTGTTTTTTTCGATTGCAATCTTGAGCTATGTTAGAGTTTTTGGGGGTGTTACTTGAGCTAAAAAATCTATCTGTTCTTGCTGAATAAAATGCATTTCACTTTTGGAGTTATTGAAACATGTTCGTGGCTCTAAGACGTTTACGGAAGTGCCATTTGATAAAACTTTCTTTACCAAAATTAAACCTTCTTTATCGCCAACACTAGCACAGTCGCTGTTACTATTACAATTCAGAATTGACTCGTGAGATTCTAAGTTACTATGTATTGATGGTGAAAGTAGAGGTTGAGGTTGGTCACAGGTTTTCACAAATATTAGTGGCTTTAAGTTGTTGTAGCGGTGTGGGTTTGCCGATAAATTTATTATTGACTCCCCCACAAGCTTACCAATTTGCCAGTTTCTAACACACAGTCCTTTTTTGTTGTTGATATCTATGTGTTCCAAAGATGTCTCAGAAATCCTATCAACCTTACTTATAAAAGAATGAAACCTGTTATTGAATGCTGTAATCTTATTTATGTTTTTATATTTTGACGATACTGGACAAGACAAAAATATAAAATTAGTGTGTAGACATGGCTTAAGTTTATTCCAAATGAACTTTGTTTGAGGAAATTTGTCATTTAGGAGATCATTATGACCACCAGTTATTATAACATAGTCATTACTATTTAAATTCTTTGTCAGATTTTCCAAATCTTCTACAATACTATGGAAAAAGGCCCCTGGAAATGATAATAAACATTTCTACCTTAAACCTATGCAAAGATGGTTGACGAGCAAGATAATTAAATAAATGTCGTCCATTTTGATCGCTCAATATTAAAATTCTCGGTTCACTAGTCGACGTCATCTTGGAATGTTCTGCGTTTGACTCGCGTTGCTGCTCCGAGCTAATATCTATGGGTGCAACAAAACCTGAATCTTGCAAATATTTTATTTCTTCCTGTAAATTATTTTTTGAGGAATGGTCTGAATTTTGGATCTCCTTACTGAGCTGCCTTTGCTTATTTTCAAGCTCTTCTATAATAGACTTTTGTTCTTGTAGAGTCATTTTCAAGTTTTGACCTTCAATTCTTTCTGCCCTCAATTCTTTGCCCATCGCTTGACATTCAGCTTCTAATGTGTTTGCCCACAATTTAACTTTCCTATGCAGTTCTTCAACGATGAGTAGCTGTTTTTTTGTCTGCTCGGTTAGTTGTAGATGTTCTTCTATCTGATCTTGTTTAACTTGATTGTCTTGTTTCAATGTTTTTATTTCCACGTTCAAACTGGAGATAATTTTTAACTGGTATTCCAATTTTACTTCAAACTGCCTTTCTTGGTCCAGTGCCATATCCTCAAAACACTTTGAACCCTTCTGAAGGCGAGCGATAAAACGGTTTTTCTCTATCAAAGTATTTTGTAATTTGTCCATCTCCAATTGAAGTTCTTCATTTTTATTAAGAAGTTCTTCGCTGTATTTGTTGTTTGAATCCAGGTCTTCTTTGGATTTTACGAAAGCTTTATGTAGACATTCAAATTCGCTTTTAATATTCTGTTGGATATTTATGCATTGAGAGCAGTAAAAAAGAACTGTCCTCTGATTTAGTACCAAGGCGTCCGATTCAGTGACACTAATATTTTCACAGGTTTGGCAGAATGGCCTCTTGCACAGGTCGCAACACATACCAAAATGTTTATTTTCTCGTGGTCTACGCTTGTGTAGACACAGCAAGTTACATTTACTACAATTGTATTCCATAATTGCTAACAACTTGAGTTTCTCTCTTCTCCTTGCACTATATTCCCCTACAGTGTTCAGAGAATGTTGGCAAAAAAAAAAGGTTCAAAATTCCATTCTCAGTGATAAAGAATCTGACTTGAAAAGAAGATAAGAAGCAGGCAAATTTGTAATTTTTTTTGCTGCTATACGAGCAATATTTATAGTCCTGAACACAATGATTTTGGTTGCTTTTCCAAATTAAAATTGGGTTCTTGTGTTGATTATTAAATAAGAGTAAAAACTCACATTTTTCCAGACACAATGACATGAAACACAAACAATTTATTTCACTTTTTCTATTAAAATTAACACAAATAAAGGAGAGATTGAATGCGTGCGACTTGCTTCGACTCGACTCAATGTAAAGTAGTTGCGTTGCCCTTATCCGCAAGTAGGATTGTCATATCTTCCGCTGAATTCAGGTTCCTAATTGCCATTAGTTCCTTCTTAGAGAGGGTACTGGTTGGTGGTCGTGCCTTTCGTAGAATATTGGCCGTCTCAATATGGATTTCTTCCGCTTCCAAATCAGCTAGTGCTCTGATGGCTGCTTCAGTGCTGGCTATAATCTCCTTCATTGACAGGTGTTGTGGAGTGATTGCGAAATTACCGCCTTCTGCCAAGACGGTTGTTTTCTCTTCGGTAAGGACTCAATCCGTGAGATTGTTGACCAGTCTGGATTTGTCAGGTGCTGTGGAATCTCGGATTTGTTTCTTACAGAACTTCTCGTAGTTTCGAATCTGAGCTTTTTTACTCCGGTTTTAGCTCATTATATCCGGTTTAGCTCATTATATCTTGAGCAAGAACTGGATCATCTCAAGTCGGCCTTTCTATCAAATGGTTACAATGCATCTGAAATCGACAGAGACATGCGACCCAAAACTGCCACACGACAAGATGAACGAGCACAAAAGAAATTGCAGACTAGGACAATCCGAAAAATCGGCAGTTGCGAAACATGCGCTTAGTGAAGGAAATCCTGAAATACTCTCTGGTGAGGTCAAGCTTCTTGCACCGACTTCCGGATACCACAATCGTCTTGTACGTGAAGCTATAGAAATCCACAAGCATACGGAGAACTTCAACAGGAAAGAAGAAACACTAAAACTTAATCAAATCTGGAACCCGATCCTCAAAAACGTAAGAAAGATTCCAATGAGTACAGAGAAAGTTGAGATTAGCCAAGTGCCGCGAAGCCCCGCCCCTCCCCAACCACAGCCATTCAAACATAAATACAACTTACGGTCTGGAACGCGTCAGTCTGCTACCAGAATCGAATATGGAAGCACCTCTGAAGATGCTAGCCACGCGTCCTAGCGAAACGTCAGGAACTTACGACGGCCATTAAGCCCGAATGAAAACCCCTTATCAATAAACCTGGGCCGCAAAAGCCTCACAAACTTTAATTTGTACAATGTCAAAGTATTATTATCAAAACAAAACAAGATATTTTTATTAATTTATACCACACTATCTACAATAAGCATACAGTTGCAACAAATACCAAAATATATAAATAATATCAATATAAAGATTAAGTGCTCCATAGATGTACTCTTCCGGTGACAATTCGATACGCCTTCCGCCCAATATACATTGCATATCATACAACAAAAAAACACTACAGAGTAGCACAACTAAACCGCAGTAAATCATCCAGATGATTTTGTAACCGAAAATAGACATGATCATCGCTATCAGTCCAAAAACCATCACAATGATTGACGCTATAGCTATAATAAAAGTCCATTTGGTAATGTCGAACCACGTTTGACATGCCAAAAGACTCACAATGAAGCAAATTAGCATCGTAGTACCAACTGCACTTACAACGATTTTAGTTTCGTACCTAACCGTCATAAAAGCGGTTAGATACGACATGCTAATGGTGAGCAAAAAGAGAAATATATAATTCACCGGAAATTTTCTTCGTAAGGATTTGATGCAAATCAAAGCGAGGTAAGTGGTGAAAAATATAGCCATCATAATATAAGACATATATGTTGTTTCTCTGATAAAGTCTCCTGTTGGTTTGTGGAACAGGGCCAATAAGTTCAAGGCGGTGGTGATTGAAAGTTGCGCGAACAATATGGTAAAGACTTTTTGGACGAAAGCATGCCGTATGGAAACGTCTTCAAAAACAATTGCAACTTCTTCGTAGGATAAATCATTGCCGAACGGTCGGTTGTTTCTACTCCGTCTTCTACTTGAATAAGGGCCTGAGGATTGTTGTTGTGGACCTTCAGAACGATAAGAACTGTAATAGGGGGGAGGTGCATTGCGTTCGTAGGGCGGTGGAGGCTCGCCTTGATTTATTCCTGCCTACAAATTTTTGAAGTTTTGGATGCATTCTTATGAAAACTTCAGACTCACCCTTTGAGTCTCGTTTCTGCTATATGGACCAACCGATTCTTCTCTGGCACAGGTGATTATTTCATCAGCGCAAGGGATTGAAGTTTCTTCTTTGTCTGAGGAAAATTATGGAAGTGTATATTCAATCACCAACAAAACAAAAAACTTATACCTTTCTTCATTGGACTATCATCTTTGCACAAAGTGATAGAATTATCTGAATTGTTTGTTTCGCTTTGCTCGCCCATTATGTTGATCCGGATTTCTGTTTTGATCGAATAATTCTTGGACGTGCTGGGTTCTTGAAATTCGATGACTTCGTTGATTTGCCTGCTAGCAATTGGAACTGCATTGTTTCCATTATCGATGGGTATTACTACACTTTGAATAGGAGTGTTGTTGACTTGGTTTTCTGACATATTGTTTTTGTTTATCTGTCTGTCAAGTGTGTCAAACAAAACCTCTTTACAGCACTCTGGGTTGGAGCTACTCTTTCTCATTATATTTTTCTACCTGGATAAACTGAAAAAAATGATAAACTTCCATTCAACTTTTATCGTGTTTTTTCAAAAAACTGACTCTCTGACCCTATAAAGGCATTACTTATAACAACAATATTCTAATTCACGCCATTTGATATGCTTACTTAATTTTTACTCTTGTTCCAGAAAACCACCGCACTCAAAGCCAGTTCGAGAGGCATCGCGTAACGAAGCTGGTCCTGTTCGAGTTCGTCAACAATTTCCTCTCGTTATTTTACATAGCCTTTGTTATGCGAGACATAGATATGCTACGCAGTCAGCTACAGACTATGCTTATTATTTCGCAAGGAATTAATAATTTCCAGGAGGTTTTCTTGCCGTTGGGGATGAATTTTTACTCCAAACAGGTAAGAATTGAAAAGTACTTACTTTAATCGTAGTACTAACTGTTAAAAGCTAAATATGTTCAATTTGTATTGATTCTGGGTCACTGCCAAATTACACAATACGTGGGGTCTTGCTCTGTAAGATAATAGATTCTCAATTATTAAAAGCTGCGCTAATTGCATACCGAACATACATATATTTGTGGAACCAGGGAAGTGGGTTTACAGTAGTAACTGTGCTTTTCTGCAGGTTGCAGTGAAGGTGCCATCCTCCTTGCAAAGGATACCCATTTTGCGAAATGGGTCTTCGTTTTCTGAAGTCTTCTCGCGTCGGTATAGTATTTTTTATTTTATCAAAGTATCCTCAGGTGTTCAATAATGATAAAGTGGAATCTTTCTACGATCCCGTTGGATTGTGGGTTATCAGAAGTAGTATAATAAATGAATATCTTATGTGTATCTACAAATTCCTGTATAAGTCCATTCTTATATCCTATTATGTGTAGTATTCCATGATGAATTATAAAGATAAGGAGGGCATTAAGAACATTCACTGAATTTGATCCCTTTATGGAATACGCTTGTTCATATTTTGAGAAGGAATCAATAATTTTTAAAAACTTCTGCCCTCCAGCTTGGAAGGTATTTAGATGAATAATTTCCAGCGGTCTAGTCGGTGTTGGAGTTATCACGAATTTAGGTTTGGCTGGATTTCTATCATATTTATTAGACTGACAGGTCTCTCAAACATTTATGAAATTTTCAATATTTCGTTCGAGGTTGAGCTAGTAATATTTCCTTCGGATATGCGCTTTGGTTTAGTTTTACTTGATGATAGGCCTGTATTATTTCACCTTGTCTTTCTTCGATATTGACGTCTACGAGAAAGTTGCATTTCATAACGTCAAATTCAAAATTTTCAAAAGTTTCTTAAGTATCCTCAAAACAACGTCTTCTCGGCGTCTTTTTTTGATCTTCACACGTTCAGACGTAATTCAGACCTAGAAAATACGTCTTTGACAATTTGTATGCTGTCTGGGTAGCTGACCATCTCGTATCTATTATCTATTACTGGTTTAACGGACGTTCATCAGCAACATGACATTAAGTTGGGTGGACTCTACCTGAGTTGGGAATCCCACAGCTACAGAACGTAATTCGGGTGATGTGGTGCAAGGTTCTGGAGTGGTGCATCTCAGGATGCGAGGTTGCCAAAAGATATTTGATTTGAGAGAAAATTTCGGCCGCCTAGTTCGCCTATTGGTAAAACCGGCGCTGGTGGTTCGCGGTATTGGATAGTCAAGTATTGCTTCAATTTTAGTCTCGTTTCTTCTGATGTAACAATATGTCCAAGAAAAGCAATTTCCTTTTTTAGGAAATCGCATTTGTCCATTTGAATTTTGAATACAGTTTTTCTGAAACAATGGAAGATTTTTGAAAAATAAACCAGATGTTCTTGAAATGATGTTTTGAACACAATGATATTGTCCATGTATGTAAACTAAGCAGTTTTCTCCTTGGAGGCCTTTCAAAACGTTATCCATTACCCTCTGGAACGTAGCTGGAGCGTTTTTTAGTCCAAACGGCATCCGAACATACTCGTATTGGCCATTTTCGACATTGCGGTGCCGCGCCGTATAGTTTTCTGTAGCACAAACGGCCTGATAGAATTTGGACACACCAGAACTGGGGCTTCAGTTAAACAAGTTTTCAGCTGATCGAAAGCAGTCTGTTGAACTTCGGTCCAGTTCCATTTTACTCCTTTTTTCAGCAGCTGATTAAGTGGAGCGGCAACTTCTGAGAAGTTTTCAACAAAGCGGCGGTACCAAGAAGCTATTCCCAAAAATTGCCTTAAGCCTTGCAAATTAGTCGGTGGCGGTATAGTAGTCGAATAGCAGTGATTTTCCCAGGGTCGGTCCGGATTCCATCGGAAGTGACCAAGTGTCCCAAGTATCGTAGCGATTTTCTCCCGAATTTATCATTTGTCAGAATTAAATGTCATGTAAGCGTAGATGAGACGGTTAAATACTTCTTTCAGGTTAGTCAGATGTTGTTCAAATATTTCCCGCAAGACGATGATATCGTCCAGATAGGCGAAACAGTGAGGGTCCGATAATGTGTTCCATTAATATTTGAAAAGTAGCCGGTGCAGAATGTAATCCAAATGGCATAACTCGAAATTGAAATAAGCCTAAGCCTGGCACTGTAAAGGCGGTTACCGGTTTGCTATCTTCGGTCAGCGGTACTTGCCAGTAGCCCTGTTTGAGATCGATGCTTGAAATGTAACGGGCCCGACGGAGTTTATCCAGGATGGCATTGATGTAGGGCAAGGGATATGCATCCTTTCTGGAAATGGTATTGACTTTCTGAAAGTCAATACAGAACCGATTCTTGCCATCTTGTTTTCGGATTTTGCGGACGGTATCTCTGTTTAATGGGTTCCGGGTTTAGCAGTTTTTTAAAGTGTCGAATTAATGGGGTGGTTCACTGGATTTTTTCGAATTTTGGTAGTTCATGCTCCAGAAATTCTTGCAGGCGCAGTGCCTCACTTTTTGTCAACTCTAAGTTAGGGGTCGGATAGATTTGGCCTATCCGGCTGTACAAATTCGGAGTGTCTAGCGGTTTGCTGTCTAAATACACCAGATTTGAGCGAATGAAATGAGTGTTGTCCTAAAATGTCCATTCCCAAAACTACTTTAGAAATAACGTGCAAAAATTAACTAAATTCTTTAGACAGCGTAACTCCAAATGTCAGCGGAATTCGGTATGCTTTGGTTATGTCGATTACGCTACCGTTGGCCACTTTCGCACTTCTGACGGGCGGTGGCACTTCGAAAGCTTTTTTCTGTAAAAATTCGCAGCTCCGCTATCTACGAGAGCTGATAACGGTGTATAGTACAGGTAAACCAAAATATGAGGACGGCAATCAGGTAGAGTTCGTGTAGGTGTCAGATTCGAGGTGTGGATTTTGTGGGGCTGTTCCGACCTCGGACACCGCCGGCGTAGTTTTCCGGACGGAGGCAGCAATGTCGTGTCATAGACGCCTTGTTTCCCATATTTTGAACAGGAAAGTTTAGGCATTCCATCCAGAAATGTCCTATCTCCCCACATCTCCAGCAAACACTGGCATTAGGGCCGGGGTTGCGGTTGACGGGGCTTCCTGCTGGATTTTGTGGATTTTTTCGGGTCGGCATCGGCCTTTCATGTCTTGAGTTTCGTCGGAGTTGTTCAGCCTGTTGAAAGGATCCTTCAGATTTCCAGTTTCTAGGCGGGTCATCAGTTGAGGATATTCTGGCAGGTGTGGAACACGAATTCCAGCTTGAAGGAGGCGTCCAATTCTGATAATAAAAGCTCGACTTTCCTTATGTTTCTCGAAAGGGAAACAACGTCGGTAATCATACTTTTCCGGATATGCTGTCGATATTCAGGTAATAGGTTTCGGTACAAACACTGCAGTTCTTGGTCGGAGTTCATATTGCCATGCCTTCTTGTCAGTGTTTGCAAATTGGTGATGTAATCGTGCGTGGGTTCATTGGGTTTTTGTAGTCGACGGCTGATTTTAATTTCTAAAATCAGCAGCCCAATTGATGGGAAAGAAGAAGCTGCGGAAATCTTGCAGGAATTCGTTCCAGGTGTTCTAGTCGGCTCGGTTGTTGCGAAACCAAAGTGATGCTTCGTTGCGTAACATTTCCAGTATATGCGGTAGTAGTCGGTCCATTAGGATTCCTTGAGGTACAGATTTCTTGCAATCTCTCAATGAACGTCAACGGATCAGAATGTAAATCTCACTTGTAAACTTCCAGCGGGGCTTACAGGGAAGTGACTGGAAGGCAATCAGCTGTCGGTGTTGTAGTAGGTGATTGGACAACTATAGTGGGTATGGGAGTAGGAATACCCGACGTGGTGATTGATATGGTGGACGGTTTGCTTATTGATGAGGGCGCAATATTAATTTGTTGAATGGAAGTCGGGGTAGCTGGGTTACTAGGAATAGTTGTGGGGGATGGGAAATCAAAAGCCTGACTGGTCGGTGTCGGTGTAGCTTCTGCGCATCGTAAAAACTTAATTAGGTTTTTCCTCGAAACATCCACGCTACCGGAAGCATCGAGACTGAACTTGCCTAGATAAGTAGGTCATCTTTCCATAATTGATATATCCAACTCACTCATACGTCACTGGTGCCAGGATCGGACAGTTTAATACCTATGGTCGTTGGGGTGTTCACTATATTAGTGGCTGTTAAACTGTTGGAAACTCCTGTTGAAGTGGGTACAGACGCGGTTGTAACTGGTGGTTTTGCACCATCGTTTGCGCTATTTCCAGGCATCTTGCTTTTCAAAACTTGTTACAAATAAAATAAAATTTGTATACTTTAAGAAAAAGATATCCTAGGGTCGTGAATTCAAAGAAAAATTAAGATAACGTGTAGTCCCTTTATGTGCAAATGAAACCACTCAAAATCCAACAAACAATAATTTTATTTAGTTTACAATGTTCTGTAAAATTTCAGTGCTAACAGCTTGGTTTTTCTTGGTGAATCTGATACCAAGTACCTGCTTTCCAATCCGGAGCTCTTCAATGGGTGTTGGGGTTTCACTTTCGTGAACTGGAGCTTTTCGTGTTGTTTCCTGTATCCAGGAAGAGGATAGATTGCTGGGGTGACGTCACTCCAGCTGATCCAGACTCCAAACAGTGATCTTTATGCAGAGTAGGTACCCAGAAAAGAATAAGGCAGTATCAGGTTCACCAATATTTGGAATATTAAATCCCTGAATTCTGTCAAAAAAGTGAGTGTCTTGCAGAGAAAATTTAAATTGAAATTTAATATAAAATTATTGTTGTACAGACACTCCCTTCCAACAGAATCAGGTATGAATAGTTATTGCAAGTTGAAAAAAATATATATTTTAATATAAAAAAAAAAACAATCAAATAATTAAGATTAATGGTAAGATAATGAAGAAAATTAGAATGATAACAAGATTATTAAAATGCTCGTTATAATTGAGCTGCTTTCTTGA